TTGTATGGATGAGACAAAATGTGACAACAAAAATATTCGTACTTAAAGTATAACAGATAATTTGAATGATTATTTTTTGTATTCAAAGTGAACATTTACGTGTAGAGTGCTTCCATGTTATACAGTATATTCGTTCTTTACAAAAAGGGTGGCATTGTGTTCCATCTTTAATCGATCAAGCCCACTTTGTCAGTCATTGAGACAATTTGTGAATAACAGTAAATTTGGAGATGAGGCTGATAAAAAGATTGTTTCAAACACATATACAATCAATTAAAGCAAAATGTCGATCAAACATGAGGTTTAGGATAGAAACTAAGAAACTATGCATAAATAAGCTTTCAGAATCAGCTACTTTTAAATTACAGACTGATGGTATTGTCAGAGTGCTCTATAATGATGACATTTTGAGATTGGTAACCACATTGTACACTAATCAATCGACTTTGGTTAGCACTGAGAAGTGAAAACCCTGAAATCGATTACTCTCTGGTGGTTAATCAATGTATTTAATCCTGTCTCACAGGAATTCAGTCGCAGCTCAAATATCTTAGTTTCAACATCTCTGATAACCTCACTGAGTGACATGGGTACAAATGTCACAGGAGATATCAATTCCTTTGCTGACGATTACCAAAAAAGCCCATAATTATGGGTTCCTGGTGACTGTCTCCAACTAACTAATGGATAATAAAGGGTTAATGACTAAGCTATTTCTTAAGATAGGCAACAGCATCAAAAATATTGTTTTTTAGCGTTATCTGGTTGCCTTTATTTTCGGTCATTTAGGTGTTGCATCCGGTTTCGTGGGGTTCAACTTGGTTATTTTTCACTTAAATAAATGTGTTCTTTATTGATGACATTAATTAATAAACCTGCTGCATCACTTTATCATTTCGCTTCTGAGATAATAAGAAGTTCGGCTTTGGGGCTGTTCTTTCTTCCTTTATAATGAGTGTATGCAGTTCGATATTTGGAAATGCTGTAAAACTATAAAACTGCTGAATATTTCGCAGTATTCTTCTCAAATGGTCATTCCTGTTAAACGTTAACAGCATAAAATTTAATGATTTAAAGACTGTGTCTCAACACAAATGTCAGTTCACGACTTACTAAAATGAATAAGAAATCTGAAGGAAGTCATTCAGACACCTCAGATTACTATATCTCGAGTTGAAAGATTTTTCTGCAGTCTTAAGATCCCCATAGATTGTTCAGAAGGTGAATAACTACAGCGAACAATTTTTCCAGTTCCACAACTAACGCTAGACTGATGAATATTACCGCCAAAAAATTTACATCTATTTAATTTGACCCACTGTTTCCCATAACGCTGACTGTTTCAGTATTAAAATAATTCCAGGGTGTGCCTTAAATTAGCTAGCATATTTCACCTATTCTCATAGGTTTATGAATGCACAGCATCAAGAGGAAGTGGCTGAATGAAACCAAGTGTTCCATCAAATTATTCTCGTTCTCAAAGACTTTTCTGTCAAAGATTTGTTTATTTTAATTGAGGTGTACTGAAGGAAATGACTGTTGTGCCTGCTTGATACTAACTCGTTATAAATAAACTGTGTAACAGAGTGTCTAGTGTTAAATATGTGAAATCTTTGCTAACACTGCACCTCAAACCCTGTTGACCGATCCACTCAACCGATTTTGACTGTTTGTCTATTCGACTCACCTTCAGTTTATTTCCAACTTCACTCTACATATTTCTGTGTTACTTAAGTCTCATCTTTTCTTTGGTAACTATAACCAGCTTTATGATAGTTTATTTCTTCATTTTAAAATCAGTTTATACTACCTATAAGTAGTAAACTTCATCAAAGGTAAGTTGGAGATTTTCAAAATTCAACCACCACGAACACAATCGGCATCTTCGTAATTTAAACTGACTATAATGATGGTACTCATTGCCAGTAAAATTCTGTCCAACTTCCCACATCTGTCAGATCACAGCTGAGCGATATTTTTACTAAATAAAGCTATGATAAAATAATAATCCCACCATAAGACTATCTCTACCCACAGCAGCAGCCTTCTCATGTTGATGTACTCCTCTCCTTGTAACGAATTATTCAGACATCTAACTGTCTATCTTTCTCATCGAATCGCTATCAATTAGTGATGACTGTGATTTACTCTTTCGCAAGTTAATTGAGTTTCTTTTCTTAAATGAATGGGAAGCTGTTGTAATTCACAAAACTGCTATGTCCGCTAACGGTGCACAGATACCGACTGCCAGCTGCTAACGTTCAGCGAATTCCTAGCTGATTCCCGACCTAACTGGTTGATAGAGAAGATACACTGGACGTTAGAAACGTGTATTGGAGTCGAAAGGCTGAAGACCAAAAACAAAGGATAGTGTTGAAGGTGAGATGAAAATTTGGACCGCGGCCGGATCCAAACCGTCGACCACCGGGTTTCCAGTCCGATGCTCTACCAACTGAGCTACAAGGACCGACCGCTGACCAGATTTTTATTTCACTTCAGTCATCAAGGATTTTTCCCGACTACTATGTGAATTCGTGACGCGTTACTATGGCATGGTTGTATTTACACTGGCTGCCTAGTCAGGACTTCTCATCCCAGTCCAAATCTATTTGAATCTCACCTTCAATCATAATCCAGTAACAGTACTAGTCTCCCAAAGCAAGGCGTTCTCAGATAGTCAAATGATAAAGGATAATGTATGTTATCTAATATATAGACAGTTCCCTGTTTAAAGTAATACTACTGTTTGGGTGATCCGTTGTCTGTCTGGTTAACTACAGAAGTGATGACATGAAGTAAATTTTGATTGGTCCATCTCTACACTGATCTTTTCTCTCTATCCCCCATATCAGAAGCTTGCTCATTTTCAGAGTAACGTAAAGAGTTTACTCCAGAGTTTCTACAGTTTACTTGTGGCAGATTGTGGTCATACAAATACTTTGTACGGTTTCATATATCCTACATGAGACTAGATGAAGTTTTATCACCACAGTATCTTTGTCCACTTTTGAGGCTTCTTTTTGATGCCATGCAGTTGCGTGAAGTCAGAGTGATCAAATATTTTCAGACACTGGTTTTTATCTGTTGGATACTGCTGATACACCTCATCCAACATACTGATTTGACAGTTGTAAGATATTAGATTTAGTACGCCGCGTTTCGAACTTGCCATACCCAACGAAGTCTGCTAAGCTTCTCCATATATTATTCTACAGAAATAAAAACGGATAAATACGCATTCATCTAATCTACTGATCTACATGGTATAATATTTCACCACCGCTCATAACCTTTTATGTTTCATTTATTTCTTCTCACTTCTCTCGCATTGGTTCGTTCTTTCAAACACAGACACAAATCACTGTTATTTTTATTGTCCGGGATACTGACTGTATCTGATACCGGTCCATAACAACTTATTAATTTATACTGGGTGATGACTGAAGGTGAGATAAAAGTTTGGACCAAGGCCAGAGGCCAATGGGTTTCCAACCCGATGCTCCACCAACTGAGCTACGAGGTCCGAAGTTATTAATTCTTGCTAAAAAACTGTTACCTTTATTCATTCTGTCTAACATCACGGCTATTCACCTTATTCGTAAAATTGATAACAAAACATTTCTGTTCCGTTGAAGCGACTTGGCTGCTTTTGTCTGTACCACCTAATCACAAGATCTGGATTTGTGTCTTAACAGTGGAATCACTGCCTAAATAATTTCTATTTGTCCCTCAAATATGAACTTAGGTTGACGAAATCAGTAGATCGACTGCATAGTCTTTGTTGAAATTTGATCATCTCTGTAATGGAGATGTCAAAAATTCCAAAAAGCCTTGACGGACTGGTTTCCTTGATTTCTTAAGTAGCCTTCTTGCATGTTAGGATTAGAACTTCCTTCTTTTCCGTCCCTAACTTGTCCTTTTGTCTATAACATTTTTATTTCTGGTAATAATTACATTGCCTGTATGAATACTAGGGACATCTTATTCCGGAACGGAAAGCTATCATTCGGTTACAGCATTTGTCCTATTTCGTCCATCCGTATTTGACTAGATGCCTATGACATTTTTGCAGGGAATGTTCGTAGTTCGCTTTCTAACAGACTCACCTGGAGACTAATCACTTGATCTCCGAACTTTCATAAATACTCAAGCATGAGAAAACCTGCACCGGCTGTAAAGTTTTTATTGACAGATATATGGATGTTTTTGGCAGGAAACTAATAAACTAATGGTAGGAAGAATATCCAAACAAAATGTACCCTCAAAATTTCTCTAATTATATCGGACCTAACTGGCAAACGTTTTAGCATGCTACAAAATATCATAAACAGTAAGACTTGACCAAGCATCAAACCGATTTCAGGTGAATATGTCTACTTAGGTCTTAGTTTTGCTCTTTCCAGTGTTCATTTGTGATGTGCATGTGAATAAGCAACATTACTTTAGTGAATTTTGAAAGTAAGGTTTCAAAACGTCTTGTTGAAATCATCCTAGTGACCTTCAAACGTCTTTTGTAGCTTCACGATAGTTATTTAAACAAATCAAAGTAATGTTCGTCATTTGAATGGAAGTGACTTTGCTTTCCAATCACATTGGACGTTTTCACATAAAAAAAGTATTGGGTGAATTGATTGCTATGTTCTCTTTCATTCAGTTTGTTCCACAAGTGTTTACAAGCATCTGCAGTTGAAATATGTGGTAAAGTATCACCATAAGATTTCACTGATTACAATAGATATTCTTTTAAAGAAAATCAGTGACAATGCCAGCTTCAGAATTTTGAATAAAACCATTTTTATACTTATCATAAATAAAAAATATTCCCACTGTTTTCAAATATTTTTATTCTTGAATAATTAGTATAGAAAAACATGATTTCAAGACCTAGTAATAATGATAGGGAGGTGCACAAATAGATGAAAGATACATTCATACATACGTACGAGTAAATAAAGTTTTGTATATGTCGTCAACAAAATTCTCCGTTAATTTAAAAATTTTCAATCTTTGTCAGCATATTGTTTTTCATATTTCCGTAATTCTAATCCAGTGATCAATGTGAGTTCTACGCATCCAAAGATAACGAACCACTCACTAAAAGCACTCAATGCAATTTCTTTATAACCCTACAATGAAAATAGCAAGAAGCAAATATTAGAAAATCCTTAATGCATTCATTTGAAACATACAACCTTTAAGAATGTAACTCTCTTTAAGAAGCTAGACTCAAAATGTGCAAACACAGCTCGTGCATAAAGTGCTCCATTCATCGAAAGGTTCTGTTTCATTTCATAGCATATTGATGTCTGGTGAACCAAACTATGAATATCATATAGCTTACCGGTTCATGTGATTTTATATAGTAGAAATCTTCTGCATCCAAAACCCGTAGACCAGCTTTATTGAAATACACAACTGTGTTGCGAGAATAGTTAAAAGAAATTTATTAGTCAATTAAACAACTGAAAGGTTAAAAATTAAGTTAATTGGTCATTTTATAGTTGAGGCGTAAACATAGCTTTGTTGTGAAGTCTGTTGTATTTCAGATACTTATACAGTAGTCTTAGAAATTGTGCACTTAGACTACAGGATAGCAAGTAAAAGAATCAAACAAAAAGCAAGAAATTGTATTTCAACTTCAAAACAGTCAAACATTATTCAGTGGTGTCCATTAGACGAATTTAAAATATCCTTGCATTCGATATATAGTATTCGTCATCGTAAGATTTGTACTCTTTAAAAGGTAAGAGGCAGAACAAGACTGATTTTTCTAATATACCATCGTCCGGTGCTAATAGCTTCCTCAAGGTAATTAAAATTAGGAATTTACAATATCAAGGCTGACCTACAATAAATGCATCAAACTCACCATGCATGAATATTTTTGTGCTTGTCAGCTGACATATTTAGCACAAATGAGGAGAGCCGTATATTTGCATACATATATATAAAGCTGAACTTATACCCCAAATTCTTGTCACACCTAATATGTGATATTTCGCCCTAATTTTTCAAACACTTGGCAAACACTGCATTATTGTTTCAAAAGAAATTTGATCCAGTTATCAAGTATAAGCTTTGATATTGTGAATTTCATTTTCCGATTGCTTTGATACAGCTAACAGCACTAAACAGTGAAATGTTAGTAGAAGTAATCCATTTTGTTACCAATTAACTGAGAGATAAGTAAGTTAAATCAGTGGGTTCATTTGTTAGTTTTCTGTTGAGTGGGCTTATTGATGCTAACTGCTCAATGGAACTGATTCTGATTTAGAGGCTTTTGTGTGCATTTCGATTACTTGTGTTCTGTCCATGTACATTATGTGATAATTGATGAATGTAAGCGGAACTATGTATGACTGATTTCTTAAATGTATTCACAGCTTTTGATCTATTTCGCCTGACGTCTTTATTCTAAATATACATCATTAGCCTGATGAGTAAGTAATCAAAATCGGAAACTTGTTTACTGCTAAACCGGTGACACTGGAAGTAAAACGTTTTACGTGGAAATTAATTATCGGTTTCAGGTTCGTATTCACCATGAACTGGCATCATTTGGAGAAGCATTAGGGACCTGTGAGCAGTGGACAGTTAGTTCATTCTAGTATAGGACTCCACAGCAGTGTGCACTCATGACTTAACAAGGATCGAGGCCAATGCCTTTAAGTTCCAAGGCCACTACATTACTATTGAGTCATTTAGTTGGATCCCAGTGATCCATATTTCCTACTTCGGTCAGTTTTTGATATAGTATAACCTCTATCCACTGTCGTCGTTGACTAACTGTTCTCACCGGTCATTACTTGTAATCGGAACTCCAGGAATCACTCTTGAAGCTAGTTACCGATGAGCGCATGGCGACATGAACATGAGAACAGTTGCTCAACAACGGAATTGGATGCAAGTCGCACTACGTCGTGAACTGACAGAAGTAGGACCACCGCAATACGACTTAGCTGCTCAATGGCAACGTGCTGGCCGTGGAAAGTAAGAGTCCTGGGTTCGACCCCTGCTGGTTAATAGGTGCACACTGTTGAAGATTCACATTCTACTACGAAGCAGCTGTCCAATGCTCCTAGGTTCCCGAAATCTCTCCAAGTGATGTCATTTCCTAACTAATACTAACCTGGAACCAATATATAAATCCCCACAAACCTGCAAACTGAATTTAATCATCCCCAAGTTAACTGGTTTAATAAACTCTCATCCCAGTAAGGAAAAGATTTTGACTATTGTTTTACCCCGTGAAGAAAAAATAATGTATCCTCCTAGAATTTAGCCGTACTAATGATATTTTCGGCGACTTATTCTATGCACAAAATATCAGTCAGCCATCTTCACTGGTCGATCACTCCCTTACCTGATTCCTATTCAAAGTTCTTTCGATGACCTAAAACTTTAAATGCCTTCAAAAGTCTGCATCAACAATACACTGGATGTGGTATCACCACAGCAATAAGTGAGTATTAATTCTTTTCTGAGAAGCGCAACTTACTCGTGATTTGTAGCCTATTTTAACAGAATTTCACATTTGACTATTCCATTGCCACGAACAACTAACAAAACATCTAAATTATCCAACTATAATAGACTGTACATAGTTGAAAGTAGCTAAACCTGTGTACTGCACATACAAGCACTAGAAAGAGGCAATTGTAGTTCAAAGAAAAACCATATTACTTTACCAACGGTCACCTGGACAAATCAGTACACGATTCAGAGACAAAAACAAAGTAATGAAAGAAATAACTAATTTTTTGTGTCTCTATGAGTTATACTCACTGGTTACAAAAAAGTGGAAACCACAATAAAGTCCGACTTCAGTCGAAGAATAGTGATGTAGCAGTCATAATGATTTGTTCCTAAAACAATGAACATGCTGAAACATGTCTTCAAACATTTCCAAATTCTCTACCCATAATTTTTCAGCATTCAAATGGACAATAAATTGTTAAAATCACAGATCAACTGTGCTAACTTCAAATGATGACAACAGTACTCAATGCTCTCCACCATCGTAAAGGCTAAAAGAATAATTCTTATTACTGGCTTGTGGTTGACACAGTTTCAACGTTCTATGGTGTGTATGTTGCTCATCAATGAATGACAAATACATAGGTCAAATTACTAATCAACATGTTCAGTTCTATACCAAATATTTTAAAGTTATTACCTAACTTATGACTTACAAGAATATGATCCTATTATCATCTGGAGAGAAACTAATACTCTGGCCAAGCAAAACCACACCCATGGTCGAAAAACATATGCAACAAGCAAGGTACTCAATGGAATACCAATCGTGTGACAAATGAAATTCAGCAGAGTCAAGTTGTAATGGGTTCTGTTATCTGACTTCATCTGAAAAAAAAGATATATTGTAACTCATCTTGATCAATTATTCCGTTAGTTAATTAGTGCAACTTCAACAATTGTATCACAAGAGATTTTATAATTGTTCCACCTATCATGGATATCATCGAATCCATTTTCTCATAAAAATGCTTTCAACTTAGACTATCTTTTTTTTCCACCAACAAATTATTCAATGAAGAACCTAGAAATTTAGGATTTCATACCGAAAAGTGGATGAAATGTTGATAAATTACTAGTTGAATGGATGTGTGTCATTTTATTCCTCATTGAGCAGCTAGAGATTCAGCCACTAATTAAATTCTTAAATCGTGATTCAGGTGATTTAGATGAAGGAGTGTATCACTGTCAGGTGTGAGATAAGCGTGGCTGATGAACCATAAACCAAAACATTTTGCTTTCTAGTCAAATTATGACTCAGATCTAAACCATCTCTACCATATTCATCAATGCAAAATTTCATTCCGAAGTGGCCGACAGAGAAACGTCCTAAATCGATAGGAACTGTCACGTATTCGCTGATCAAGTACTTTCTGTATTCGTAGTAACTGCTTAAAGGATGCTTACGACGCAAATAAGAACACGATCTCAGTTGGGATCAGGATGGAGGGGGGTTTGATGTCCCTCTCTCACAAACCAAAGTAGAAAGACTGACAACTGATGTCATATTTTATCTTCATGAGAGATTGTGGGTGTGAACCGCTTGTCAATATCAGGAGGTATAAAGTCCCAAGTGGTCACCCCTGTTGGAGTTAACTTTCGAGGGCCCGACATGAATTCTCTACTTGTCAAAATTTGAAGACTTAAATGCTCTGTGAAACCATAAGTTGGATTATTTGATTAGTTTTGAGGTTATCTTAATGCACAACCATCACAAAATGATACTTATCAATTTTGTAACAAATCAGAAGAAACTTCAGTTAGTAAAGAAATGCGATGAATGCGTCATATAATTATTACCAGTAAATCTTGATATAATTTCTTATAACATATCTTGTCTCTTTACATAGACTTCAGAATGCTTTGTTGGTATGATGCTTAGGAATTCGAGGTTTTTATTTGTCCATATCTTTCAAAGTCTATGCTCTCCAATATGCTTCTTCAGTACTCTGGAGGCCCTTGCAAGGTTGAATAAAACCTCACTAACTTCACTGAAATTTACATACAATGAGACAGCGATGTCAACAATCAGCAGGTAGATCACTCTTACTTTGGGTGTTTGGACGTGATAAATTCACTCATCACATTCGCCTATTCATTTGCCTTGCATAAAAGCTTGTAGACTTACATCACACATGGCTTTGCATAAATCAAGTAACAATCCTCTACATTAAGAAGATGAGGGTATGTACTGACAACAATAGTGCTAAATAGTTCACCTAATACCACACCTATTGTGGATGAAGTATCTCTTCAGTTCAATTCACAGGTTATTCATTCTCTCAGATTACCTCTGTTTAACTTTGTTACACGTCAGTTCCCGCCAACAATCATGAATCCTCTCAGGTCAACATTTCTATTGCTTGTATTTGGTGTTAATTTGATAAACAAACATTCGGTTATCAATCTCTTCCTCCGCCCAACTAGGTTTTTAAAGCTGTTGCTTTGTCCCACCCTACTGTATAATTGTATGTAGTTGCGTGCAGAGCTGTAGTCGAGCTTTCTTCTGAATTTTCTATCTTGATTTAGTCAATTTTTTGTACTCTGTTATTCTAATCGACACTGGTTGACTATTTTAACCTATGAATTTGACCTGGTAATCATTGTAAGGAACTCGGTAAAGCAAATTATTTTATCTAGTTGCATCAAAGAGATCTTCAAGTTACAAAGTTTGTTCCTAAGCGGATTCGTTGGTTAAATGCCACTTTAATCCTAGCCTTATTGAGAATTCTTCATAATGCTTCTGAGGTGCCTTCCTTGTATGATAACATGGCAGATGCTTTGAATCCTCTCCAAACCCTGTCACCATTATTATAACTAGTAGTAGAATTATTATTGACAACAACACCTGTATTACTACTACTATTACCACTGCTACGGAGACATCACGCCTCAGGCCAGACCATCGAGTGGAACCCAAATGGGAAACGACGAGTTGGGCATCCCAGATGAGGGTGACATGGAGGAGATCATGTGAGGAAGAAATGAAAGCATTTGTGCAGTTATGCAGCCAGGTTCAAAAGACTACAGAGAAGAGAGAAGAGAGTTGGTTTTTTCGCCCTATCACTTGAGCATTTAACTAGTCCTACTTTTACTGAAATAGAGTGGACGGATTCGAATTCTAGGTGATGATTTGAATGGAAACTTTTTCTATAGACAACGGTCTCAGGACTTCCGTCTTTTATTCGTTTAATTTTGCAATCCAAAATTGTTAGCTCACCTTCATCACTTTTAAGTCACAGGTAAACTGGTTTGCATTTACTACTGAATTTATATGTTCCAAGAACCTATTGACGTGTTCCAGCTTCAGTGCTGTGATCATACCATTTACATATCGGAACCATATCTTTGGAGTAGGACTAAATGTTTGAAGGGCCATCTGTTCCCAACTATCCACGAATGTCTGCGACGATAGGGGATATCAGTAATCCCATGGCAACACCTTTAGTTTGTTCATATATTTTATTTTGAAACTTACAAACTGTACATGTAGGCATAGTCGTGCTCCTAGCATGATTTCTTCGATCTGCACCTCAGTTTGATGCCTGAGCTCATTGTCGTTATTAATCCCATTTTTAACTGCCTCTGGAGTCATGTCGGTCGGTATATTTGTGTAAAGGCTAGTTATATCAAAACTAACGATTTTGTCATTGTCATCTGAATGTATGTCATCTAATCTGTGGTTTAAGTCATAAGAGTTGGTCAGTAGAGATTTTGAGTGATGTATTATTAGGTCTAGCACCATTGCTAAACGTTTAAGCAACTCGTAAGTTGGAGTGTTTCTAAAATCTATTATAGGCCTGATGGGATAACCTGGCTTAGGAATCTTAATAGCAGTATACATTCCTTTGGGATTATTTGTTTTTGGCATTGTATTAAACCATTCAGCGAACAACCTACGCTCCATATATTTCGACTGCTGGCTGACAATTACCAGCATGCAGGGAGCCTAGGTTGAATACATCCCAACATTGTAGACCTAATGTGTATCCCTAAATGGCTGTGTACTGTGATGATTCATTACCCACTTCAGAGGTGACACTATTCGTGACCGATAGGATCTCACTAGCGCTCACTACATGGCACTAGACGGATACATTAGTTATTATTCAGTGATCGATTCAGGCACTGTGTCTATTTGAACGGTAGTCTATCAGCTTGAGCATTTGATATTCAAGCTGCTGTTCAATCGATTCAACGTCATTTCACCTTTTTCTACCTGGTCAAGTGGGTAGGCTCACGAATCGTCATGCGTCGAATGTGGCTAGTTGCCTATTACTCAGAGCTTATACCAAGCATCTGAGTTACAGTGCTTTGACTTCATTAGTACATCCTGATGACCAAATAATCTAAATGAAAGTTAGCAGTGATAGTAAACAGGCTTATATTCACATTCGTTTGCACGATCAATAAGACGGATATGGAGGATGATGTGCGCGTTTTCCTGTATGTACCTCATAACCTAAACTCCGCTTCTTTGAATCAGCTCTACAGTTTAAACTCAAAAACCAAATTGATTTCAGAAAAGCTTAATTCAAATTACAAATTCACTTCAACAGTATGAACAATATGAACAGTTCTAGTTTCCACAATCTTTTTCATCATTCAAATATTTTTGATAATAAATATAACCAGATTCACTCACGTTAATGAAGGACAGTATCACGATGCAAATGCCGGATACTGTGAAGGTTATCGCTGATAAGACACACAAATGCTGACCGACTGTGGACCACGATTTTCTCTTGAATTTTTTTCTCATCATAAAGCACCAAAGCCACTGACTGATAATTGCTGAAATGTAGAATGAGAAGATTGATGAGAACAACGCATTTTACATTTCATCAACCTTAGTTGATGAAGGACTTCAGCCCAGCAGCGAAGTGTGTCTGATCACTCACCACTTCACCAAATGTCACTGTAACCTTGACTTGAATAAGGAGACGTTTACTCCGAGTTAGATGGTACGCCTATATTTCCCAACCAACCGGTTCAAGGGAATGCGTTTTCCTGGAGATATGTGACCCCACCGAGTGGAAACCACTTGACGTCCATTGGAAATGACGGAGAATCAAATTGTTGTTTCCTCTGTAGTGATCAGTGATAAGTTGATTGCAGGTGACTGTTCAGAAATGCTATCGTGAGACTGTCACATCTTTGGTGGTCTAATTATATCTCCATAGTGGAATACCAGCAGTCATGCACAAATTGCAACTGCACCTACAGATAATGCTTAACCGGATTACTAGATTCCAGTCAACGGATGAATGGCAATACACAAGTTGGAAACAATGAAGCTTTAGACTGATATCCGATAAGATATCGAGCTGCAAAATTACAGAGAAATCTTACGGTTGAATCGTGAAATTATCACTTAGCCTCTGAATTTCAATATTTCTGTGGTTGGTGTGTGTTTGCAACCTAAACATTCTTCTGATTATCGTGGGTGCTTTACTTTTAGCTGAGAATGCTTATTTGTTAAACGAGGAATGGTAGAGAAGAGGTCAGGACCATTGTTGGAAATAAACTCGTAAGAACTCGTTTTGCTAGAAATGAAGGGGTGCAGATTAAATCTGCTATATGAATAAAACAGTGAGATTCTCTTCAAAGGATCTTTGCATAAAAAACAATTAGGCAATACATTTCTGCATCGTTGAAATTCGTGAACAGTTCAATTCACTTTAATGTCTGGTCAGCAAGAGAGATGATGCTCTGACTACACTGCCAAATCTTCTACTGACAAGCAACATCGTATCTATAGACGCATCTCTTATTCAATTGACTCAACTTCAGCGAATGTAACCGAATTGATGAAATTCTCATTATCATGTATCATGCATAGCATTTAGGGAACTGAATCTCAGTTTCAAATGACACATTCACGTTTTATTCGAAAAATATACATCATATATTAAGTTTTGACTTGCTTACTTAGTACTCCATATGAACCCATCAAGGCCATAAACATATACTTTTCCGGTGGATAAATACCCAGTGCACTGAAATGAATGCAGAATTTATCATCACGATGAAATTTCGTAGTCAACTTAAAGTTGAAATGCATCTCGGCATGAAATACCTGATTCCACTGTAATGACATAAGCATGATTTTGTATACGTAAAACAACGATATGAAATACTCTCAATATACTTCACTGAGACTTCTTTTTCAACAGTTGTCTGAGTTTCTTGAGTTTGGAAACCAGATATTTTCACTCAATGATACAAACAAGGCTGAATGTGCTTAGCTGTCAGTGACCCACTTCCAATCATCTTGAGGAATCATTCGAAAACTGAAATTTCGTGACCTGTTTCTCATTTCTAAAGTTATTCACATACTGCTCGTTAAAATGCAACCGTTTCACACAGCATTAATATCACATTTACTGGAACTAATGTCTTCCGAACGGCCTACTACTTTTTGACACAGACTTACTGATAAATTGGGAAAGTTTCTTCATTCAAACTGAGTAGCAAAATCATTTTCCTTTTCTATTGTGCACTGTCTCAAGTAATAATACAAGCGAGATTTCCGAGAAATCATACTGCGGGAATAAACGGGCAATAAATAGATGACTGACAGATCTTCAAGTGCAACTAATCAACGGGAAGTTAAATCTGGGAATACTCCGACTCACTGATTTCACAGGCTTATGTCTAGCGACAATGATGAAAACAATCAGATGTTTTTCGGAAGTTAAATAGTTACTTTATGCCACAACGATCAGAGTGTAGTACTTATACACGTGTCTGAAGATTTTCAAAACCTAAAGACATGTATATTTCAAGAGTGCAGAGTAGCAGTTGAAATAACTTGGGACTGTCGATGTAAGTTAATTGGAAGGCAAGTTAGTGGAATAGGATAGAGCCTCAGCAATTCATTAACTTTTGGTTAAACAATAAGCCCGTACGACTATCCAACAAGCTTCTTTAAACAACATCAAACCACCAGAAGATTTGCGTCTTTAATCAGCCATAGTTAGGCAGACGCACTAATAAATTAGGAAATAAACAAAGTTGAATAGTTCGGGTACATACTGAAAATAAGTTGAGTAAACAGTATGGAGTGAACGACCTTATTATTTGATGAAGTAATATGTTTTGGAATTATTTCCCAAAAAAGATGTCTAAGGAAAAGAAATGTGATTAACGGAATTCGACCTTTCATCCTGCAATCTAACAATTGCAATAATTACATGATTATGGCTAATCGCCAGAATTATCCTGTTCTTGATTCCAATCAGTAGTTTAGCATACACAAACATCAAAATTCCCATCATTTTAATTTCAGACCACCTCCACTTATTCACTTTTGCATCTTATGGATGATTACAATTTCCTTACATACCATATGAATTATTTTCGTTTTGTTTCGAATTCACATTTCTAAATTTAGTCCTGGCTAACACTGCCAAAGTGTCACTTCATCTCTTCTCTATATTTACAAAGTACAAAGAATGAAACACTTGTATTACGTCACAATTACCATAGAGGCTGAGTGACCGTTCGGATCACTGTTACTCGTTGATGATCGGCTACCATATCATGTATAATGTATGGCAGTCTTCGAACCATTATACAACAGTAATGTCGTGCTCTGATTTATAACTTTGTGATAGTGCAGATTTTGAAGTTTATTTGCAACTGTTTGGGGAACTCTTTATGACAGATGTGAATGAAAGTGAGTTTCTAGTTTTTTAGACATCTCTTCATTACCCACTGGTCATTAATAATCTATGAACTTTCATTCACGTTTAATAAATATAGTTGTTACGTTTTCAGAATTTTCTATGTAGACATTTTTATACCTAACATAAGGCATGCATTCACACTAACTCAGTCTCACTCAAAGCTGCTAATCCCTCACAGTCCAATTAAGTCACCATCTCCCACGTTCGAAGATTGTTGTTTCACTATTCTACATCCTTCTCATCATGCCGGTATTAAAATATCTTGTTAACAAAGTAATAGATTCAGTCCAGTGCAAATTAACACAGTCAGACACTGTAAATGTCTAAGTTGAATAATAAATATATATTAAAATATTTACTTTTTTGCCGATACCTGTTTCAGGTAGGTAGACAGTTTATTTACATCGAAAATGTTTTGCAAGAATAGAATTCAAACAAAACGAGTATCGTTTCTCTCGACAAATAATGAGTTCAACTACTCAGGGAGTTGTGGGTGAGCGCCAATGAGGGATCATATACTAGGGCAAAACAGATGTTCAGTGCTCTCAGGTGTTCAACAGTTCCTCAGGTGATGGTAGTTTATGATGAATACTACCCTGAAATCAGTTATGCAGTCTGTTTAGTTGCTGTTGTAACACAATATAAGTTATTTGCATCTCCATGTTAGGATAGACCAAATAAAAGTGATGTGCTAGTAGCTGTTTCGTAGGAATCAATTGCTTCTCTGCAACGCAGTGATGGTAGAACAGTTGACGAACATTATAACGGGACGTAGAAACTTCAAAATTGTTTGTTCGAAACATCTTTGAGTGTGGGTTCGAAGTAAAATATTCAAAGGCTGAAGTGTCTGTTCGGTGAACAGTGATTTTCCGTTTCAACTTTGAACTTACAACGAATGATTTTCAAAGAAGTGGTGGGTTTATATTTGTAGCCTGTCGTTTACTTTATGCCAAGGGGGCTTATTCTGTAAGCGTTAGCGTCTGCATTTACAAACCTATTTAAAAATAAACGAACCATGCAATCGAGTCAAATTTTCATCGTACGTCATCGCCCCTTGGTTGGAGGAGATAGCGACGAGAATACTGGACTTCTCAAAAAGCAAACTTAGCAGTTACAGTTCATTCATTGCTTTTAGTAATTCGGCTGGTTAGGTGGTATTTAGAGTTATGGAAGACAAAACACTGGCTTAAATTTGGTTCCAACAAAGCTTTCCTACATGTGTACCGGAAAAAAATATTTACGGCATCGAACAAATCTTCAGTGCATAGCACAGCAGTGAAATAAGATGTTGTTACACTAACAGAATGCATCAAATTGACTTGCCACTAATTGAGGTGCATGAGGAAAAGCTGTCACTGGTGCTTATCTGTAACCATATGATTTTAATGATGGCGTGGGTGATGTTTGTATGACATCTCTGAATGCTTCATGGATCTATACACCTTACAGATACACTGTATAACATGAAGCGCATGTTTTCTCAACGATTTCATTTCAAGCTATATTTCGGTTAAGAGTTATTGTGAATAACTGCAGAAAACATCTTCATAAGTTTGTGGATTAAACATATGGGACTAGGGAATTTCAAAGACAGTCTTCAAATACTCAATTAATGTAGTTCCTTGAGGAGGTATGTACGTAATGCAGGAAATATCCGTTACACTTGAATTTCAATATCATTGAAAAATGCAGCAAAGTTCCAGTTTGTAAACACTTCTTCATCTACCTTATCTCTTAAGTGAATACACACGGTATTTCATAATTCCAGTATGCGAGGTGTTCTTCTGACTTCAAAACCTAACCAGTGAACTTGGAGTGATTTTGAACATTGTGGATTGATCGAAATGTTAAATATTATTATTGTTGATGGTAATTTTTTATCAGCTGCAAATGTAGTGACACTAGGCTGAACCACAATTGGTGAGAAACATTTTTCTGAGACTTGCTATTCGAACTGATGTGTTTAGTGAGGCAGAATTGCACAGTTAAGCCATTCCGGACACTCACAATTGGTTGCTAGATAAGATGTCTGGTGACTTATAGACTTTCAACTGCCAATGATAAATAGATCGATTTCTGAGTGAAGTTTCACTAGCGAGTAGGGTTAGGTTATGCTAGGGTCTTTAATGCTATGACGTCAGGTGCATAAAAAAATCAGAAACGTAACGTGTGTTTAAGATGAACATCCCTGTCAAGGTTTTACAGTATTCTAATATCCTTAGTAACCCTATACCTTACTAGTGCTGGAGAATAACAAGCTTAAGAAAGCCAGGGAGGCTATAAACCTGGACGATGGTGCATTCATCATGTCTTCACCCACCGATGGGTTCTAGAACACAAGTATACTGACAGGTGTTTAATACCTGAAATACTTTCTGACTTCAAAGTGCCACTCAACTCTATATACTCTATATATATGTGCAGAGGCAAGGCACTGTAAGTGAGTAGATGCCACCATATAAGGGCTTGTGGTGGGTTGTCGTTTTAAGTAAAGACAAAAAGTGGTGTCTGGTAGAGATTCCATAATCCTCAGTCTGTTTGATGTTGTTATGGATGCGCTAATGGATATAACTGTAGGTCTCTTCAACTTTCAGCAAATGACTTACTCCACAGACATCACCTGGTTCACTTGCACTACTCAGATGACAGAGTTCTCTCACATGAAAACACTGACAAAACGCAGTTTTCCGGACATCTTGAGCAGGAATTCAAGTAAGTTTGCTACTCGTTTCTTATCTGCCAAATGCGAGGTAATTCATCGGTACGGGTCTGCACTACCTCTTAATTTCAGGGTATGGTGTGACTGAATGGGCGTGTTGACCACTTCACTTGGTGAGTTGTATCAGTCTAAACAGCTTGGCTACGTAAGAAACCTATTCCGTTGCATGAAGTTCTTTCAGCAATTTCTAACTTTCATCATCTCTAGCTCCACCATAACAGATTAACACTTGTTAAGTGATTAGTGTACAATGCAACAAATCGCTCTGTCCCATTGTTGTATGGGGAAAGATTTTCGGAGAGTAGATATGAATAGGTTTCAGATTTGTGATCACAGCTGTCTTCATTCAATCGTTCGTGAGTGTTTAAGTTGCAGTGTCGAGCCCATGCATGTTTTCTAGGCAAAACACGTAAGCTAGTCAATGGAGTTCTGAACCTCCAGTGAATGAGATGACTTGGAAATATGTTACACATTTTGAACAATCACTTATCTCAACGTATGCTGTTTACGCAAGTAGGATTGGCTTGGAAGAAGACTCGAGGTGGTCAAAAAAGTGTCACTGTTCCTTCAGATATCTTACTGTTGGCTTAAGCAGTGTAAGTTGCTAAACTGTGTTTCTCAAGGTGATAATAATCAGTGGTTAAAGACTGAAGATCAGTTATAATGGTGCAAAGGTATACACAATCAGTCGGCTTTGAGGTCTTGATTATTTTCATTGACCTTCACCTCCTTATTCTTGCAACTCATTAACATCACTTCTCCAAACAGCGTATTCCATTGCTGTAAAGTGTGGTATTTTGAAGCGATGTACTTCTGTGATGGTTTCTACATTGATTCGTCAGTCAGTGTATAAATGCAAGGATCTTACAGTGTTCTTTTGATAATGGATTCTATCTTTTATTATATACAATTGGAAAACACAGATTAGCTAGAGCCGAGCTCCATACTCTCTCGTTAAATATAGTCATAGTAAGAGTGTGAAGTATTACTACCTGGCTATGAATACAACGTTGTGAATATGAAAATGATATCTGTGCCAATTTACGCATCCGCATCAAAATACTTAAGTGCCTAATTAGTATCTTAAAACTGTCTTAGATTGATTTCAACGACATAAATTGCTGAATGCATATACAATTATGCATGATTTGCTAATGAATAAGACGCTATTTAGCAAGAACATAAGTTTGAAGGTGTTTAGATAGCTTTCAAAATTTAGAAATAGAGATTTTATTTACATTATTGATATCGGCTGCTTCAAGTAAAATCACGAACTTGTAGAATTTTAATAAATCAACAGAAGTGTAGGTGTCTTGACAGTTCTGTTTACTTTTCTTGATTTATAGAAGTTATCAAAGTGTATGAAAGAAGCTTTGATTGTGACTGAGATTGTTTTGTTTAATAACTTTCATGACTTTTGTAAATGCTAATGAACTAACCATCTCAACTAAGTTAGACCAGTTTTCTAAGTAATGATAGGTATTGTTATGCTCAAGAAATATGTTTTGTAGAGCAGTGTTGCACAGATCATCATCGTTATCATTTGATTCATCTTATTTTGGCACCACTTTTAGATAGTCAAGAGTTTTAATACTTTTAACATTCAGTATTTCTGTGTTTACTCAACATAACTTTCAGTCTAACAGTTATGGAAATATTTCATAGTGATACAAGTATTTATTATGGTAGCATTTTATTCTATGTAAGTAGACAGTCTACCTTTTTTAACTTGCAGAGTTGTACAAACACTGGTAACTGAAATATCTAATTATCTCTCACATAAGATAAAACCGCCCGTTTTTAAACTATTCAGATAAGTGTACCAACTTTATTTGTTTCTCTTATGAGTTCGATTGTTTAGCCCTAATGTTTTTGTGTACCTCCAATAGAGGTGAGTGATTTACACGTGACAACATGATTATCTATATAGTTTCAAATGGTCCTCTGAAGATAAAATGAAATTTATTCTACTTACTACTTCATGTATCAAATATTTACAGAAGTAAATCTTTTCGAGATACGGAACAAAATTAATGAGAATATTTTAATGAGGTAGTAGGGTTACAAAGACATTGAACTATCCAACTACGAATTCACAAGTGTCTATTAAATATATGAATAAATTTTCACTCACCTCGTATATGGGACAATTGGTTGTACATGATCATATGCAATTGCAATAAAGTAGCTACAATCATATAAGTTGAAAAATATCAAGGTAACATTATTTAAACACGTCTACTTTTAACATTTAAACATTGATAGTAGTTATGAGTCTCTGTATTTTGTTTACAATGGCTAATATGTCACATACGTGAAGGTTTAACTTACTTATCTACTGATGAATAAGATAACTCACATTGTGCTATACATTCTATACAATATGCATATCAAGTGTGTTGTAAGCTTTAATTAGCAGGTAGATCACTGATTGTTTATCAGTAGTTGATTTATGTATCTTGCTTTAAGTAATATGAGTATGAGTATGCATCAAATTTGATAATTCTGAAACAAAAAATGTTCAGGCATTTCAGTGTTTTTTTTAAAAGATCAACATCAGTACCTTAACTAAAGATAACAGAACTTTTGGTTATTTGGAATTTGTTTCTTAGTATTCTTATACTTTTAAAATATTAATGATAATCAGCTTGTAAAAGTATGTATTCATATCATTAATCTTCCGACGTATCTCAGTAAGAATTAGAAAACAGAGATCACAATACAAAAGGTGTTCAGACTAAATTAGACCTTGAAGATGTTCAAATATCATTTTTAGTAAAGTATACACTTATAAGTATAAAACTGATTTGAAGACGGTTTGCAAAACTGATCAAAGTGGATTGAAATAGTAGAGGAAGAGAAAGTATTAGACTATTTATCACTGAGCACTGATGAACACTTTTATTTTCTTAGCTGGACAAAAAATGGGGATAGACAAAAGGTTTTATTCACTGATAAATACTTTCTTTCAGCGTAATAATAGTTGACCATAACAGTAAGTAGACTGACCCTCTTCGACATCACAACCACGAAGTCAAAAATCATGATACCAACTCCGGTTGATTTCACCTACGTCTCCGAGTATAGTAAAAATATTCTTGAGTTCAACTAAGTCTTTCTCTAGAAATTCATGGATTTAGGACCTCTGATAAATTTTAACAAAACAAGAAGGATGGAATTTATAGAATACTATGATATCATTTCAGACTGTACGGAACTGAGGAATATTCGAGAAATGGAATTGAATCATTTTATTTTGCAAATTTCGTCGTTCTAACTTTGTCTAATTCTTCTATTTAATACTTCGAGTGACTGATATCAATGTCAACTGATTTCTACGGATTTCGTATCACTAGTCGTCAGAATACAACATTCAAAGAAATGAAATTATCACTTAATCTCATATGTTCCTTTTGCATAATGAACTTCATTGCCAATAACTTTTTCTTCATTATCCGTACATTCTGTGAGTAGAGAAAATTCGGTTTGGTTGTTTTCCTTGATAATGGTGTATAGTCTGTGCTATGTTAAGCATTAGAGTTTTGACAAACAGCCACCACGCTTTAGACTGGCAATATCTAGTTCGGTTTAGGAAAGTGTGAAACGCTCGTGGTAGTAAATAAATGCAGACAGTCTGGCTTAGTTCCACTTAATATCCAAGAGGCAACTATCAGGGAATTTCCTATGGTCAACTTGTGTACATGTGTGATGCGTGTGTGAAGTAATTTTTATCAACGACCACATCTTCAGCTGTATGCCGGAAAAGAAGCTTTCTGGGACTGAGGTGAGTCATTTCAGGTAAAACGCTGGTAAGTTTGGCTACATGTAAGCGATTCAAAAGTATGAATGTTAAACCACCGTGATCTAGATGACTTGTCGAAGAATAAGTTTGGTGAGTAGACAGCAGAGATTTTGTGCTTTGTTTCTTCAGGCAATACATAGACATTTTTCAGTCATTATCATGGAACTCAATATGACATGAAGTGAGAAAACAAGAAATAATTAGACAACAAATATTGTTGCGTTCGGTCTTGTCTGTACAGCTGCGATAATTAAGTCATCTATTGTTTCAGGATTTATGAATAGCATTGGAATTTTTGGTTACCTACTCAACAAGGAAACCGTATCCTCAGGTGTTCTTTTCAGGTTCTCCTTATCGAAAGCGTATTGACTGGAGAACACCTTTTCAACTTTCCCGATCTTAGAATCTCTTTGTTTGTCGGGTTTACAGATGTTGCCTGTTTTGCACGAATGCTGTAGAGTACATTAGTTCGGTATACGTAAATTAATGTACCTATTCAGTAAATATTTGTGGAGTGTGTTGAAAAATATAGCTAAAAGTATATGTAAAGGAAATTAGGCACGAAACATTTAAGTTGACTGAAATTTGTTTTCCCATTGATTTTCTACTTACCCTACAGGCAACCAGAACAACGCATGGACCACAGCGTATAAGGGTACTAGAGATGGGTAAAAGCTTAACTGTCCAATTCTAAAATGTGATCCTGAAAGTAGAATTGTATGCAGCTTTTAGTTTCAAAAGAAAATGAATAAAATTCGAAAGAAATATACAGACAATGAATAACTCAATTGAAACTCCGGGACCTAAATGATGGAGAAAGACTTAGTCAATTGTTGTCTAGTTCCGAAAGTATCTAGCATACTCACTCGTTGGTGAATATCCATTCATACCTGAAGCTATATCTTACTACGATAGATGTTTGTGGTTTGCAGTGGTTTTTGATAGCAAGTTAGACGTAGCACTTGCATAAACCCTAAACATTTACACAGTACTGATTATTTACATAGTAAAATGCTACAGTAGTCCGTTTCAGCTTACAAGAATTAAGTTTTCATCGCTGTCTCTATTTATTTACATCTTAAAACGTTTGATACAATAACTATTGATGCTTACGAATGACTCTCAATTTTCTACTGTATGAACCTGTGAGAAGCCCAGTCATTCCACTTTCTTATCACATGGTCCCAGTTACCTATTCCATGACTATATATTGATAGATACGCTAAACAGAATACTCGACGATCAAATTCTAAGTCCAAATATTTATCTTTATTCTGATACAACACATTTGGCCGCAAAGCACCTACACGGGACTCATCTTACCATCTTCATTATACTTGATATGCGGTATCGATACCAAACAGCGACACAAATATTTTGTTGAACATTATTTCTTACAAGTTGTTGACCTCTGTATGCCTATTTAAGCCATGATGTTTAAGTAATTATTGGGATGAAATTCAGGTTCCAATAAAGAAATCTCATAGGTTGGTCTTCATTAAGGTGGTTAACCAAATACTTCTAGCTGATGATGGATCAGAGAATACATTATGATAATTCAACTAACTGATGTAATATAATGATGCTGCAGAGCAGTAGGTTTAATGTTGAAATATGAATGTCAAGAAGCTGTTTGTGCTTGTTAGCATTCATGAGCGTAGCGTACTTATAATATCGAGAAACATATGTTCCAAGGTCACATTATCAAGTATTACCATAATACTCAGCTATATATTTCAGTTAGTATTGAAGACGAGAAATGATGAGATCTTTCAACTCATGAGAAATTCTTCCATTGAATTATCTTTTTCAAGGGGTCAGCTGGAGTCCATATACTTTCATTTTAGACCTTGTGATTACACTATCAGATAATCTCATATCAAATCCAAGATTTATTGGAGTATACATGCAAAATTCTTGTGAGATTCAATTATCTTGAGCTATTCATCAATGGATATTTAACAACTGATGCTTCAATGTCTGCTTGAAATGACTTTACAGCTTTAAATATTCTTACAACTGGTTTGCCAGTATGTTTTAACAGGAAAAATAATCTAACTTTATTTAGGACGTAATCAAGACACTGAATTTCTTGCATTACTTATAACGATAACTCCTTCTGAGGAGCGTTTTCGATGTTTTCATACTGACTAGTAATTTCTATGACTGATAAGTCACACCTCTACTTTGACTCTTTCGCATATAACTGTTGGCCATCAACATATATATGTCAACGGTGGGCAGTCGATTTACTACACTTTTCCAAACATCTCAAGACTCTATTACAAGAAATCACTTAGATTTCGAACTTATCAGAACCATCCAAGCAGCATGTCATCTATGCTGACACACATGCAACCTGACTTCCTTACAATCAAAGTTGCCGTAACCTTTATTACTTTCTATTAAATATTATCGGAAAATGTCAAAATTGTGGACCTAGTTTGATGAACAGACATGGATTTAAGACAGGCAAATTCACTGCTTACCGAACAATCCAATTTTCCAACGAAACATTCCTATTCAAGTGTAATTTTGTTCGGATTAATCTGTCCTTATAGGATTTTCGTAGCTATGCTTCAAAAATAATAGGGAAGACCATACAGGTAAACTGAAAATTCAGTCAGTAATTAACCGTATTCATTTCATTCAAATAGAAGTTGACTTAAGCAATGTCTGTTAAGTATATCTTGACAGTCGTGATGATGAGAATTTGATTTTTATTTATGTTATGTACAACTTTCATGGCAACTTACATTGACATGAGTCAAGTAAGGTTTACCCCGTGTTCAACTATCTCCCTGATTACAAATACCCATGAAAACAAATTAATCAATATGCCCAATCATTTTGCTTTCAGTTATCAGGTAGATCGTCCATGAATATCAGTACTGGAGCTAAGATACGCATCCAGAATGTGAGTAGTACACCACAAGCATCTCAACCTTTTTGTTCAAAACGGTTGGGAAAAATTATTTTGATATCGTTTCCATGTCACCTGTGAAATAACTGTACACGAAATTGTAGCTAAGAGATCACTTCCTTGACACTCCAATAGAAACAGTTTTGCCTCCTGGGATACGCTGTATATTAAAAATTCTGTATTTCATCGCATTGTGGAAGTCATCAGCCCTCGTTTCTTTTTATCAGATAAGGACAAAATGTCATTTATTTGTCGGAAAAGTTACTGTTATCATTATTCATAATCGGATTCCTGTTGTATACGCAGGAGGTAAAAGATGATAGTGCTGTAAATGAAAATAAAAGGCCAGTTGTCTAAATTTTCTGAATGCATGGATAAATCCACATAAGTGGAGTTGTGTAGCATACCTATGTCAATATTCTCCCTTCACTGCATGTGAATTTCCTCTTTCCCACTAATGAGTTTAGATGCGCACGAAGAAATGTATTACAGTCTACAGGCTGAACCTAGATTTCACTCGTTCGTATGATGAGAGAATGGGGATAAAACTGGTCAAGTTAGTTTTAGAAGTCTCTAGACCACAGATATTTGAAGGGTGTTGATTGGCATACTCTTCAATACATTCATAATTTCTATTGTGAAATCAAGAACAAGATATTCAGAGAAGTGGACTCTTTTCAACGAATTCATTCTTAAGCTGTACATTCGTATGTACAGTCTTTGTTGCTACCTTGGCCTTAACTTATTTAGGTCTTTGTGTCCTTCATCTCTTTTTGGCTTTCCAACTTCCTCTTTTGTCAGATTAATCTTTGTACTCTTATATCGTCATTATCACTTTATTTCTCATTCACATTACCTAGTCCAATGATTGTTTATTAACGTTTTCATCCCCTTTTTAATCTATATTGCACTTTACAAACGATTTAGAAATCTTACATAACCTTTTCGTTATCATCCAACCTTTACATCATCAACTAGTGACATTATTATTATAAACACCATCATTTTCACCAATGACTTTGAAGGGCCAAAACTAATTTTAGCTATTTGCAGCTACGGTTGCTGTTTGATTTTGAATCGGGCATTTCGTTTTGTATGAACATATCCTACCGGAATATGGAATGAAAGTGAAACAAAATACATCCCGAAGTGAACCTGATAACCAACTGCATAGTTATTTATTGTTTGTATAGACTGCATACAGAAATGTTTAAAAAAAAACCCAGGATATCTCTTATTAGCGTGGTAACTCTGACGTGATTTTGAATGATAAAGTGTCTTTAAAAGGTAGTTTCCATAAGAATTATTCCACCAGACAATGTCGCACTGAATTCATAAAACAGCGTGAAATACATTTTAGACCATTAAAACTTCATATACATTGTACTGGGACTTTTATGCTGTAACAATGCAGCTCAGTAAATCATGCAAAATATAAGATACTTGATACGACTGGATTACACATAGAATCCAATTTTGAACATTCACCTAGATACGTTCATGATCTGCCTAGTTGAAGGACAGAAAACACGTACTTTCTGTGTATCTTAATCAATGGCATTTAAGTATCAGTACAAAGTGCCAATGTGCTCAGCAGTCAATGTGTATTACTTTCATTTATTTTTAGACCAAGATATTGATGCATATGTTGTTCACTTACCTTAATACTGTTAAGCAGTTTCAGCGATGAATGAGTTGTAGCCTTTCGGTGAAAAGATTATGTATATATGATTATTCTAGCTTCATATTCACATTTATCATCTGCATATTCCACACTATTAAATGAGCTTGGGAACTTTGAACCAATCAACTTTCACTTGTAATTATGTGAAATATAGTATATGTGTTTTGTAGCATTCCAACCTACTGTGTACATATTGATCACAAATTGATGAGTATAATTTGGTCACTGAAGTTCATCAACAAAGTCACCATTGTTCCTGAAATATGATGCCAAACTCATTAAAGCAAGGAATACATTGGACCGGCATCAAATCACTAAATTACAAGTCACTGTGTCGCAGTAGGGTGTATTCGAACACTGAAGCGATATGCGTTAAACCAAATCGATCCCTTTTGTGTGCATATACAAGAAATAAAAATAGATTTCTTTCGTAGCTAGCATTCCATTGATAAGCTTCCTGATAATCTTAAACTTGACTTCATGGAATACGTCTCTCGTGTAACCAAGCGAAGAGTGGAGAAAGTACTAATCTAACTAGTGGGAATCTTGTCTTTTCCTAGCTGTCTCCAAGTAAGATTACCTTCCCAATAATAGTCGAGTGCACTGTGTGTTGATAATCAGTGTGACCAAGTACTCAAAATAGAAAAGGATGAGCATGACTGGTGTTGAGATAACATAAATAACAGTAATGAAAGCAAACATTGGGGAAGGAGAAAATGATGGACGAATTAGTACGTTAAAAGTTCAGAGGACTGAGCATCAGTCAGTCTATCAAGAAAACATTCAAGTAAGTGCTGACGTGATTGGGTTCAGGGGATAACCAGTAGAATTTCATGATACCTACTGGTTCTGTGCAAACAGAGACTGTAGAACAGTGGTGACTGTGTAATCTGGTGAATGGAGAGACCCATTTCTCTATTCGGTAAGTGTAATCAGATATTGATCTATCGGCTTACTTACTTTGATATTGTTACGTTCTTCGAGCTAGATAGTTTAACCGTAAGTGTTTCACTTTTTTTCTGCACAACATATTCAGTATTAGATTCAGTTTGAAGTGAACATTCAAGATTTGTCAAACAGTGGTTACGTAGCCTGCTCATATGGGATGGCATGTGATTGGTAGTTTCCTTTATTTAAACTGTCATTGACTGTACATAATTTCCTGTTGGTTGCTTTATGGTACTTTGTCTTAGCTAAGAAGTTGACACAGAACATTATGGCATTCGACGTAACCATTCAATCGACAAGGGAGCCCGGGTCAACATATTTTTGCTTGCTTAAACATACGTTCTATGATCCTATGGTAGGTGATGCTCTGTGCATATAACTGATTGCTGAACTCAGGCAAATAAGGCTGCGACTGTTTCCGTCATATTTTCCACTATACTTGAACATCTGACACACCACTTTCACTATGTTAAATGTAAGGAGTATGACACGTAACTGGTAATTAAGAAGTATGAGATTGCATATATTTTATCGTCATCTGTGCACTGAGGCCCGTAACCGAAGTTAACTAAGCTGTTCAAACATTGCAGCACCAAAACAGCCACACCCACCATCAAATAGGGAAAACAAGTGAAGTCCGGCAGTTTAAAAGTATCTAAATATGACTAATCCAACTTTATAGCTCAACAAGTAGAGTAAGCATGCGTAGTGGAGAGAAAACCTAACTATCTAACTTGTTTCACCAGACTAAGCTTCAGAAAACAATACTTGCAGGCGAACTTTGATATGTATCCTGAAAAGCAACACCAACCGTCCATACGTTTGTACCCTATTCTCATGGAACCTTGACTGAACACATAATCAGTGGTATGAGGGTTCTAAACTTTGAATTTCAAACCTCTTAATGTGATTTCTCTCTGCTTAAGTCTGTATTAATGGAAGTGGACATTTTTCTCCATAAGTGATAAGAATTGTTGTCATCCGGAAATTCTATGGATATTAAGAAAGGCCTATTTTGTTCTTCTATCCATCAAACACGGGATTCCGATGTAGCCCGAAAACTTTAGAAACGAGACTTTCAATATGAACAAAAAGAGTGAAGGAACCTCAAATACTCTATTACGTTTATTATATTATTATTTATTATTTTCCCCTTGAGTTCCTATTGAAACACAGGGCTTCAATAGCACACCTCCATTCCACTCTGTTCTCTGCAGTGTGACTCCACCTGGCACCACGACTGCCTACAAGCTTTCATTTCTCCCCCACATGATCTCCATGTCACCTTCAGCTGGGACCTCCAACTCGTCGTTCCCCCGTGTGAATTCTACTCAACGACCTGGCCAGTCACGT